AGCTTTGATGTGTGCACCAATCCCCCGGGGACCTTGTGGAAGTGACAATTCAGGTGCAGTAAGCCTACATTTCTCACAAGCTCTGGGGTGACATCAAGGTGGTGGGGCTGACCCCCTGTGATAGCAAGGCCCTTGGATGCCATCCTCCTCAGTGCCTGGTCCCCTGAATGTTCCTGCCAGGGAGGAGGGGCAAAGGGAAAGGTACACCTTCCCTTAAAGTTAACCTGTCACTTGCGCTCACAGCAACACAGCCACACCTGGACACAGGGGGATGTGGAAACAGGCAATCCATAGACTACGCAGCAGGGACCCAGTGCAAATCCGGGAATCCAATCCCTTCTCTTCCCACCACGAGATGCACCTCCTTGTACCCCTGTTCCAATCTATGCCACCCGCCCAACCCTATGGTTGGGAGCACTTCCGCCCCAGTCCACACTCAGCCTCGGCCTCTGCCTGAGTCTTGGCCTCCACCTGAGCCTTGGCTCCTGCCCCCACCCATGCCCTTTCTTCCATCAGGCACAGACAAGCGGAGCAGTACCCCACCCAGCTCCATGCCCCCTCCAGCCACTGCCCTGCTTTGCAACTCCCTTCACAGCTGGTGTCCTCTGATGCCACATCACCTCCTATCCCCCCAACTCACCCAAACTAGACCAGCCACAAGGGCATTGGCCACCATCCCCACCACACGTCGTGCACACCCTCTCCTCCTCCCATGATGTGTAACTCGGTCCATGACTGACACACGTAGCCACCCTCCTCCGTGGTTTCTGCTCCAACATCATTGGTGTTCCTCTGCCCACTCTGTGGCCTCCTCTTTCCTGTGCCACCTCCCAGCCCAGATCCCAGGCCTCCAGAGGCCCTCCCAGGAAGCTCTCACTCCCTGGTCTTAAACACCCTCCCAGGGCAAAGGCGTCCCATTTGTTTCCATTGTGGAACTTCAGATTTGTGGGTGTGATGCCAGCTGACTCTCCATGTGGGTTCGTGGACAGGCCTCTCACATTGAGTTGTCCAGCTAGTACTCTCCATCCTCCTCCCACCAGATCCTCCCCACACCTGTCCTGTCAACCCACCCATCACCTGGACCCACTTCTCGGGGCCCAGCCGGGATATCTCACCATCCCACATGGCATGTGCACAACAATCCCAGCCCCCAGCACCTCCACTGCTACAAGGGCCTTCTCCTTGGTGTTCCTGTTACTCCTGAGTTCCCAGACCCCTTCTCCACTCAGCTGCCTAGAGACATTCTCACTTCAAACACTCTGATGGCCTCGCATTGTACAAGGGGGACCCAAAAACCCAGAATTTATTTATAAAAAATTGTGTATTGGCCGGGCACAGTGGTTCAAGCCTGTAATCCCAGCACTTTGGGAGGCCGAGGCAAGACGATTGCCTGAGCCTGGGTATTCGAGGCCAGCCTGGGCAATTTGGCAAGACCTCGTCTGTACAATATTTAAAAAAAAAAATTAGCTGGTCATGGTAGCTCATGCCTGTAGTTCCAGCTACTTGGAAGGCTGAAGTGGAAGGATCGCCTGGGCCCAGCAGGTCAGTGCTGGGGTGGCTGTGAGTGTGCCACTGCACTCCAGCCTGGGTGACAGAATGAGGCTCTGACTCAAAAAAAAAAGTTGTATATTAATTCATACATGTTTAAACTTCAGTCACCTGCAAAGTACTCTCTGTTGGATGCAGTACCCCTCTTGAAATGCTTTTTCCACTGCTCAAAACAGTTTCTAAACTCACCCACGTTGATGCCTTTTAGCGCTTTTGCCGCTTTTTGATTCACCTCTTCCGCACTGGCAGAACACTTCCCTTTGAGGAATTTTTTCATCCATGGAAACAAGAGTCACTCAGGGTGAGAAAGGGTGAAGAGGGAGGGTGGGGCACGGGGGTCATGCTGTTTATGGTCAAAAACTGAACACTCAACGCGGTGTGGCCAGGTGCATTGTCATGGTGGAAGAACCAGTGGCCTGTTGGCCACAACTCAAGACGTTTCTTCCACAAATCATGACGCAACCTTCTCAAAACTTCCAGATGAAAACCAATGGGTTCCTAGAACACTTACCTAGCAGGGGAAGCATGCCCTCCAAAAGATAATTCTAGTTTTTGAATCCCTCTCGTACTGAGTAAAACCTATCTTCTTTGCAGTAGCTGGAAGGCCTTATACAAGTAGCCCCCACCTACTTCTTTGGCCTTACCCTCTTCCATTCAGCAGGTTCCAGCTGCCCCGGCCTCCGGCCTCAGGGCCTTCGCACTTGCCGTTTCCTCTGCTGGAACGCTTTGCCCACTGATCTTGGGACACTGGCTTTCCTGGCATTCAAGTTTTTACCTCAGATGTACCTTCTCAGAGAGTCCTTCCCTGAGCATCTTGGAGGACCTGCTGCCACTCCCCCGCTGTTCACATCACCATTTCATTGTCCTCATAGCGAAATATGGGAAGTATTTCTTCAATCTTTTATTTCTTCCCTACCTGTCCCTTTCTGGAATATAACATGGCAGCAAGTCCTTGTCTGTCTTGTTTTTTCTGCTGTATTCATAGCTGTAAAATGGCTCCTAGGTTTTAAGTGGAAAAAGTAACTTCTAATTTTTCTCTTATTCGTTTTAATCTTAGGACTATGATATTCCAGTACAAGTGAAGATTTTTACTTTCTCTTGTATATACAGTGGAGTAAAATCTTATTTTGGCTTCTCACATTTTCCTGATATGGAATCGAGGGATCAAAGTAAAAAATTAGGGCTGGGTGCAGTGGCTCACACCTGTAATCCCGGCACTTTGGGAGGCAGAGGGGAGAAGATTGCCTGAGCCTGGGCATTCTCGGAGAGACCAGCATGGGCAACTTGGTGAAACCTCTCTCTGCAATTAAAAAAAAAACTAGCCGGGCGTGGTGGCATGCGCCTGTAGTCCCAGCTACTTGAAAGGCTGAGATGGAAGGATTGCCGAGTCCAGCAGGTCGAGGCTGTGGTGGCCAAGAGCGCGCCACTGCATTCCAACCTGGGTGACAAAGTGACTCCAACTAAAAAAAAAAAAATCAGAATAATAACACGGAGGCAGAATTCATATCTAAAGTCTCATATTCTCTCTAGCAGGCATGGGAGAAACATCTCCATCAACCATCTCCAGAACCTTTTATCATCCTAAATCGAAATACTGTACTCACTCAACACTAAATTCCCATTCCCTCTTCCCCAGCACCTCCCCCTCCACCGGCAACTGCCATTCTATTTGTTTCCATGATTTTGACTATTCTAGATCTTTCATACATGTATTCATAGAGTGTCTATTCTTTCGTGAGTGGCTTATTTCACTTAGTGCGCTAACAAGCGTCATTCATATTGCAGAACATTATGAGAATTTCGTTTCTAAGACCTAATGATACTACATTGTGTGGCATATCACATTCTGTTTATCCTTTATCTCGTGATAGACATTTGAGCCGTTTCCATCTTTTTTTTCTTTTTTTTGAGTTGGGGGTCTCACTTCCTCGCCCAGGCTGGAGTGCAGTGGCACACTCACGGTCACCCTAGCATCAACCTACCGGGCTCCAGTGATCCTTCCGCCTCAGCCTTCCAAGCAGCAGGAACTACAGGTGTGCACTACCACACCCAGCTAATTTTTTTTATTTATTTAGAGACAAGGTCTTGCCAAGTTGCCTGGACTGGTCTCAAATCCAAGGGCTCAGGCAATCCACTATCTTCAGTCACCCAAAGTGCTGGAATTACAAGCTGAACTGTTTCCACCTTTTGGCGACCGTGGAGGGTGCTAACATGAATGTGAAAATACCTGTTCAAGTCCCTGCTTTCCGTTCTCTTGAGTAAATAAATACTTACAGCCAAATTATTGCTATACTATTCAATACTGTGGGGGGAGGGGTCTGCTTCACCCAAATCAGGAGTCTAACCTGACAATCACAGGATTTTCTAGAGGCTGTGTGTGCTTGGAGGTTCTCACTGCAGAAGGGTATCTCAAAGCCACAATGTGTGTGTCCTCCTTGTTCCACGTCCCCACACACAACCATCACAGAGAGGAAGTGAAAGAGAACCCAGCATTCCATTCAAAAAATCCCTCCTTGGCGAGACCTCATCAAAAATCAGCCGGGCGTGATAGTGCGCGCCTGTAGTTCCAGCTACTTGGAAGGCTGAGGCAGAAGGATCGCCGGAGTCCAGCAGGTCGAGGCTGCAGTGGCCAGGAGTGGCCACTGCACTCCGGTCTGGAAGACAGAGTGAGACTCCAACTCAAAAAAAAAAAAATCCCTCCTCATGAATTTCCAATAAACACAAAACAAAATGTAAAAGTAAGAAATTTTTATTCAAATTACCTTTCCAAGTTTGTAACATGCAAACAGACAATTCCGCCCAATATGGACTCTAAGATCCATGACAAACAGATACACATTGGTTTGGCAAAACATGCATCAGCCACCTAACACCCCCAGCACCTGTCCTCAGGGTAACCTGCTCACCAGAGGGAAGCCACACACTTACCAGGATGTCCCTGCTGCTGTCCATTACCCCCAAGGAGTGGCACTGACAGAGGGAACAGTCCTCACCATAACTGGGACTGAGAGCAGCGCTGGAACCTTCTGCTTCACTCCAGCAGCCGTGATGCATCAGGACCAGAAAAAAACCCCTCCGCCCCCGAGCACAGTCAGTCCAGGAAGGTGACTTTCTGCTACACTGGGCTTTTCAGCAGTTCTCACCACTGGCTGCATACTCCAAGCAATGGGGAGCTTTTTAAAAATCCCACTGCTTGAGCCACAGATCAAGTAAACCAGAATCTCTGGGAATGGCACCCAGCCAACTTCATTTTGGGAAAGTCCCCAGGTGATTCTGACACTCAGGGAGAGGAAGGCCACCCCCTCCTCATTCCTTTCCTTTAGAGGCTTCCCTCACTCTGAAGAAAACACTTGGCATGTGCGACACACTTCCTGACTCAGGAACATTCTGACATGTGGATGCTTTGTTTCTACCACTCACTAATGAAGAGTTAAAAAAATAGAGCACCCAGATTTCATTAAAAAAAATTTATTTTCATATAAAAGTGCCAAAATATCCACCAATGTCGTAATCTATCTCAACAGCCAGTTTACACTAGTAACCAAAACACAAGCATCTTTATTCACATTGCGTAAGAATCCAACTCTTTCACACATTCCCACAGTAACTCGAGTCTCTGGACAGCTGGAAGTTCGCATTCCTGTTGGCCGTGGTAGTCCATATGTCCAGATTCATGTAGGCACGAAACGGGTTGAACCCTGGGTAGTACTCCTTGCACATGACCGCCTGGTTTTCCATGTGAGTCGAATGTTCCGTGGTGGGACTGATGGGGCAGCAGTTTTCATATACGTCGTTTTGCGGGGCCCAGATGGAACCAAAAAGTCCAGACATTGGAGACAAGCTGCGGGTGCTTGTGAGGTAGGGCTGAAGTATAAAAGGGGAAAAAAAGGTTAAAGGGAAAAAAAAAGGGCGAAGCCCTGGAAAGGCAAGGTCAAGACTGAATATACAGCAGTGGATACCACAGTGGTATCAAGTTACTCAGAAGTGATTAAACTGCTCTCAAATTAAATCTAGGCTGCTTCAACTCTGCTTTTCTCAAAGGGGGATTGAGAAAGCCTCATGTCACTGGATAAACTTATTTGCAAACCCAGGAAGAACCAACCCACAGGCCAAATGCCCTTTATCTGAAATTTTTAAAAAAGTGTCACATGGATGTGAGAGGGGAGGGTCGTGGGCTTTTTAGTGGGGGGTGGGGAGTATGTGTTCACAGACTGGAAGCTCCTGGGACCCCAACACTGACCACTCACTGAGCTTCCTGGGACTTTTTGTTTTGAGTCAGAGTCTCACTCTGTCATCTAGGCTGGAGTGCAGTGGCACGCTCATGGCCCCCACAGCCTCCACCTGCTGGGCTCAAAAAATCCTTCTCTGCCTCAGCATTCCAAGTAGCTGGAACTACAGGAGTACGCCACCAAGCCCGCTAATTTTTTTGATTTAGCGTAGAGACGAAGTCTCGCCATGTTGCTCAGGCTGGTCTCAAAGCCCTGAGCTCAGGCAATTCCCTTGCCACTACCTCCCAAAGTGCTGGGATTACAGGCATGAGCCACTGTGCCTGGCATTCCTGGGACACTTATTTCATCTCTTATCACAAATGGAAAGGTCAGCGAGGCTACACAATGACACATAGGGGCTTCCTGGCCCATGTTCAGTTTTATCTTCAATCACAGCTTGGAGCGTTTTGGGACATCTTTTTCATTCGGGGTGGCTAGAATGTCAATGTCTGCAAGCCCCCACCCATCTGACTACATGTTCGGTTCCTTCTGAGGGTAGCCAGTGCCGGCTCCTGTGATCTAAAGGAAACAAGCCAGGCTGTGGCTAACCCAAAACCAACACTAAAGCTAGTTGAGACCAGGATTAAGAAGCACCCGAAACAACTCAGAGCTGCCCCAGGGTTCACAGCACAGGACAGGCAACACTGACCGGAGAGCTGATGAAACTGGCATGTCCCCAGGCAGCAGGCATGGCAGCAGGGCTGTTCCACGAAGACTGAGAGTTGTGATCAATGAAGTCTGTCTGAACTTCCGCGGGACAGGGAAAGCCATTCGTGTAATTCATGTTTTCTACAGAGTGGGAGACACCACCGCAGGTAAACATTTTATGAAGAGAACAGAGCTCTCATTTTCAGGCAAAAAGGGCCTTACTCTATTGACAAGTGACAGACATAAAACCCTTACTCTGCTTGGACCAGGAGAGTCATTTCACTGTCATTCTCAAGGTTAAAGCTGCTTATCAGACACATACCTGGGAAGCCCTCCATGTCCATGTGGAAGGTCTTCCTCTGGGCTTGTTTCTCTGTGTTTGATCATTTGATGGGAATCTTTCTATTACACAAAGTACACACACTCAAATACTACTGCAGGTGTGAGTCGTGTCAAGATTCTTACCAACCTTGAAACTTTTAAAAATTACTTGTCATGCCACCTGCACATGCACCCTATGGGCTGATGAAGCAACCACAAACCACCACGCACTCCTGAGATGTCATTAAGAAAACGATCAACAAGCAGAGCCTCACGGTCACAGGAAGGAGGTCGCCGAGCACCCCCTTGTGGTCAGCATGAGCAATGCATGTGTCAGCACCTAGGTCAGGACAATTCCTGATAGATAGCTTATCCCTTCCTGAAAAAATGTCCCCAGTGCAAGAGAGCATGATCAGGCAGTAAAGCACCGTTAGAGCATCTTCCGGTTGATCAGGGAACTCCCTTATCTCTTATGCATTTATTACTACAAATGCTTGAGCCCCAGCAGCTGCAATTTTCCAGTTTTCCCCGGAAGCTCCTTTCCTTCCTTCTGCAGCGCCACCCAGGGGCAGAGGAGTCATGACACGACAAGGAAGCAGCCAGTGAATGTTTCTATGTCATGTGGGACTTGCCTGCCACCTAAAGCCTCAGTCTCCCGATAGATAACCCACCCTGTGAAGTCCACACGGATCCAATGCCCAGCTCCACCTAACCTGAAGGACCAAGTAGATGAGGGTTGTGTGTGGAAGTCCCTAGACACCTGGACCCAGAGGGTTTTTGGAGGACCATATAAAATGACCCATGGCAGGCAATGCCTAAACAGATCTGAGTGAAGCCACCTAGCTGCCCTCTGGGGGTCCACTCTCAAAGTCAGCTCCCTGATCAAAGGCAGCTTCTACAGCAGGTGAGTGCCTTTCCATTCACACACTTCCCTCTTGGCCTTCTGAGAAGAAAAGAACGGCCCTGGGATTGTTTCAACAGCTTGTACCTTCTGAAAAGGCATTGTAATCGTTCACCTCCAACGGACAGTACGCATGGGAAAACTGGCCTTCACACACTGCGCTCCAATCGACGAAACTGCTGCAAAAAACAAGAGGTCCAGTTTCAGAAAGAAGACATCAAGCAAAGAGAGAGGAAAATGATTTTACTGCCCAACAAATTCCCCGATTTTGGAAAACAGAAGATGGGCTTTCTCAAGCCACAGAATCAAAGAGGTCCCAAATGCTTATCAGTAATGCCCCACCTGTGAGCGGACGGCTGGACTAGGTGCACACTTCCCTTATAACCAATGTGTTAAGCCTAGCCAGGACAGACTCCAAGGCCGTGGTTATATTAACATGGCAGAAAAACAGCTGGAACACCTCTAAGTGTCTCAGCACACACCGGAAGGGCTTAAACAGATTCTGCTACTAAAATATCTACCTGTCTCTCAGAGCAAGACCAGCGTCCATCTTAGGAAAGTCACAACTAAAAGACTATAATTCCTGATGTTCTGATCACTATTGCAAGCTGGATTCTCACTATAGAAATGAGATGATCTCTCACCTGCAATCCCAGCCCTTTAAGGAGGCAGAGATGGGAGGATCACTTGAGCCCAGGAGTTCATGACCAGCCTGGGCAACATAGCAAGGCATCATATCTACCAAAAAAAAATTAGCTGGATGTGGTAGTGTGCAACTATAGTCCCAGCTACTTGGGAAGCTGAGGCAGAAGGATTACCTGAGCCAAGGGGGTTGAGGCTGTAGTGAGTCACGGTGGTGCCACTGCACTCTAGCTTGGTTGCAAACTCCCGGGCTCAAGCAATCTTCTCGCCTTGGCCTCCCAAAGTGCTGAGTCCCTGGCCCAGCCCATCTTTTCAATTTAACAAGAAAAAGAAGCAGCAATGACACAATTCCCTGTTTATTCCTGTTACTTCCTCTCATGGGCCTCTCGGTGCCTGGCTTGTGATTACCCGAGACATCACAAAGCAACTCTAACAGGCAGAGGAAGCACACAGCTGAAATACACCAAGGAGGAAGGCTAGCCCTCAGATCTGCAAGGGCTATCTAATAAATCGAGTTCCGATACCAGTTGCAGCTTTAGGCTGAGCGAGGTCCCCGTGCCAGGCAAGCCACGTACCTGCTGTGAACCGGGGCAGGATCCTGCAACACGCACGGCGTGCTGCTGTCCAGGGCGCAGTTTAAGCTGCTCGTCAGACACACAGGCTGCGTGGGCCACAGGTCTCCAGGGGAGTAAAGACCTGAGAAAGAGAATAAAGCCTGTCACCTTCTATCCACCCAGCCCTCATCACACCTTTCCGGCAACAGCTCAACTGCTCTTCTCTTCAGAAAACACTCCCTGGTGTCACCCACACATGCTGACTCTTTCTGTCATCCCTGACTCCTGACACAGAGCATACTGCTTTGACCATCACTTTCGATGGTGTCTAATTTTCTCTTGATTCGGATGACAAGGTGAGACTCACCTGAAAAGTATTTGAGGGTCCCCTCTCTGAAAAGTTCTGTAACAGATGCTACAGACACAGCAGTTGAGAGTCACATTCAAGTGAGCAGACACAACAAGCAAAAGAAGTCCAGCATGACTGAGGCCCTACATGCTATGACAGCAATTTTAAACAGGGTGGTTAAAGGCCTCACTGCGGGAACAGTTCACCACAGGCATGACTGAGGCGAGAAAGTGATACATGGATACGGAAAAGCACATTCCAGGCAGTGGGAACAGTATGGCAGAGGCCCTGAAATAAGGTGTGCCTGGTGAATTCAAACAGCTGAGGACACACCAGTGTGACCAGGAAAGAGGGGAGAAGTGGGGGATGGGGCCAGACAGCGGACTGGGAGCAGAGGGCTGACAGAGTCCGTGGCCTCTTTCAGGACCTGGGCATTTACTCTGGAGCCATTGGAAGTAGCTCAGAGCAGAATAGCTGCTTAAGAGATAGGTCTCAGCTGGGCTCGGTGGCTCAGCCTGTAATCCCGTGTCTTTGGAAGGCTGAGGTGAGTGGATTGCCTGAGCCCGCAGGTTCAAGACCCGCCTGGGCAACTTGGTGAGACCTCATCTCTACAATAAATCAAAAATCAGCCAGGCGTGGTAGCGCATGCCTATAGTTCCAGCTACTCGGAAGGCTGAGGCGAAAGGATCACCGGAGCCCAGCAGGTAGAGGCTGCAGTGGCTGGGAGCGGGCACTGCACTTCAGTCTGGGTGACATAGTGAGACTCCAACTCAAAAAAAAAAAAAAAAGAGATGGGTCTCCACGGTTTCTCCCATCTCTGCACACGTCACAAGCAGAGGCAGCAGTCTTGGCTCTAAACTATCTTTTCATGAATTTTTGCTAAGCAAAACTCTTGGAACATACAGCATCTCCCACTGGAGCAAAGGGCAGGTGTGTCTGTTGCCTATTATAAAAAGACTGGAGTCCCTAAGTCCACGTTCCCCTCCTGTAATGCAATCCACTGTGTGTGCTGGCATCCATCTGGGGCTGTTTGGGTCTCTCTGTGATACCGAAGGCCAAAGGGAATGGACACAAACAGGCTGATCCTTGTGCCCTGGCTTGGCCCAGCTATATTTTGGCTTTATGTGAAATAATGGCAGCTATCCTTTTGGGGAAACTGCTGGCTCCGTGGGGCCCTCCCTGAGGCTGCCCTAAATGCCTGGGCCTGGCTCAGGTGGGGTGAAGCTAAAACTCGACAGTGTATACCAGGCTGCTAGAGCTGTCCCACCTTGATGCCCATCATGCAGAACTGGAAAGACACAGGGCAGCTCTGCTCAGTGGACAGAGCCCAAGGTGGTTCCCGTAGCTCTGGCCAGTTCTCCCCTGATGATGGGTCTTGCTGTGTTCACTGACTCCCAGGCTACTGCCAATGGCCTAGGTGTTTGCTCTGCCACTTAGAAAGATGCAGATGGGCAGATTAAAGACACTGCTCTCTGGGGCTGTGCAAAGTAGAAATGGATCTTGGCTTCTGATTAAATCTCAGAGCCACTCAGGTTGAAGTCCCTGGTGAGAGCTCGTCATCTGCTGAGACAGGCTGATGGGGTCCGCATGACCAAGATAGCCATCGCTGCTGCCTGGGTCCATCCTCGCACCGGACATGGCAACATTTCTAGCATTACAGACCGGGTACACGGGAGCTCCCTGGAGGGACAGCTTGTTCACACATATCCTAGGGACAGTCACCATAATGAGGGAGCCACCCCAATTAGGAAAGGCTGCTGTGACATTTGCTGATATTAGCTGAAGGGATCCAAGACACCACCTGGGCCCTGGAAGGCACTCAGGTCAGCCACAACTCCCCAGTCAGAATAGTCATGCATGACAGAATTGCCCTAGACACGGTGGCATCTGTGCCATCTTGAATACACCTGCTATACCTGGACACACCTCTGGTCACTTGGAAAGATCAGCAAAGAAACTTAAGAGAAAGCCATATGGCTTTCTACGATAGACCCTGGCGGTTCATGGCATTTGCTCAGCTGGCTGGGTCTAGGGCTCTGGGGCATGGTTGAGGTCAGCGCTGCCAGGTGGCCTCATCTTCCTGCTTAGGGTCCTGGTGATAGCAGTTGCTGCCAAATGTTATATGAGACAGATCAACAGATTTGGTCCTACCTTCTGTCAGTCAGATTAATCAAGAATTGCTTACAGAATGGTGTTCTCATGAGAAGACCCACCAGATGCCCAAACTACCTAGAAACAAGAGGTGTGTATATCGTGAGACAACCCTCCGTGGGCCTCACATTTCTGTTCTTCTTGCGAGCAGAAGCACTAGCTGCCTTTATTCTGACCTAACTTCCCAAGGATGTGTGTTAGGCAAAGCCTCAGAAGACGGGGGCAGGTGTCTCCTTTTTGGGCAGGGGGCAAGTCTGCTCAATGGCCAACATAAAGATAATGCCTCCTGCCCCTTATAAAAGACTTGGGTTCTCTAAGCTTAGGGTTCCCGCCCTTCTGTCAACCTGTGGGAGTGGGGCAAGGGTACTGAGGGTACGGACATAAATATGCTGGTACTCGGGCCTCTTGCTGTACTAAGAAGTCCTTTGTCTCTGCCCCAGGAGTCCCTAGTCCTCTGTCAACATTTACGGAATTGTGGGAGGCTGAGCTGTTAGCTTGAAAGTAGTGTAAAAATCTCAGGTGTCTCCCAGTTCTCCACAGTAACGTGATCTAACTTAGGTTTAGCACGATCAATCCGGCCTCTGTGTTAAAGACGGACGGCAAGGCTAGGGGCAGGCAGAAGCAGGGAGACCCATTAGGAAGTTACTGTGATAATCTGAGAGAGAAAGGGTGGCCCAGGTCGTGGTGATTATGGTGGTGCTGGTGAGAAGTGATCTGATGCTGGATACATTTGGAAGGGAGGAGCCTAACAGAGTAAGAGTGGATTGGATGTGAGGCACAAAAAAAGAAAACATCAGGATGCAGGCCAGGCACAGTGTCACCCCAGCACTTTGGGAGGCTGAGCTGGGAGGATCGTTTGAGCCCAGGAGTTTGAGACCAGCCTGGGCAACAAAGTGAGACCTCATCTCTACAAAAAAAAATCAAAAAAGTTAGCTGGGCATGGTGGTGCGCTCCTGTAGTCCCATCTACCTGAGAGGCTAAGTCGGAAGAATCACCTGAGCCCAGGAAGTTGAAGCTGCAGTGAGCAGTGATTATGCCACTGTGCTCCAGCCTGGGTGAGAGTGAGATAAAATTAGGGATTTCTTTCTCTCTCTCCCCGTCCCTACCTCCCACTCTGACCCATGACTCCTCCATGTCTGGCCTGTGCAAACAGAAAAGCTAAATGGGAAGACTGTAAGAGGAGCAGGTTTAAGAAAGGAGAGAGATTTGTAGGCTACCTGTGGGATCTCCAAGTACAGACATCAGAGTGGCAGCTGGCTAGAAGACACCAGGGTTGAGGAGAGAGGCCAGGCTGAAGAGACAAATTTGGGAGTTGCCAGCGTGTAAGGGAGTCTCAAAGCTTTGAAAGTGATGAGATCCACTTCTTTCTCATCCCACAGAAATAAAGGAGCACATCCACACCTCTTCCAGATCTCACCTCCACAAATTAGGGATTATTGAATTTAAGATTTTTTTTTAACCTGAAGACACTTATTTTACTGCATGAGTCATTAGATACAACTTGAAAATAATTTATTTCCGTTGGTAATCTGACAAGTCTAAAATCTATCCAAGGAACAGCATCGAAGGTCTATGCTTTCAAAGTAAAAACTGGCCCCTGTGCAGAGCAGCCTTTAAATTCACATTCATTTCTTTTTTTATGTTTTGAAAGCAGGATTTTTTGAGAGGACAGAAAAGTTCCCACAGTGGGAGGGAGCACAAGGGGGTTGCCCTAAATTCACTCTCATTTCTATGAGCAAAAGCAAGTAGTAAAGTAGTAAAGCCACAGAGAGGCTGGACGCAGTGGTTCAAGCCTGTAATCCCAGCACTTTGGGAGGCTGAGGTAAGAGGACTGCCTAAGCCCACGGGTTCAAGGCCAGTCTGGGCAACTTGGCAAGACCTCGTCTCTATAATAAATCAAAAAATTAGCCAGCAGTAGCAGTGCGCGCCACTTGGAAGGCTGAGGCAGAAGGATTGCCGGAGCCCAGCAGGTCAGTTCTGGGGTGACTGAGCATACCACAGCACTACAGCCTGGATGACAGAGTGAGACTCCAACTCAAAAAAAAAAAAGTAACAGAGAACAAAACTCAGGCCTGTTCTGCTGCAATCCTGACCCCTGTTAGGTTGGAAAGAAGTCCTGGAACAACAAGAAGATAGAGACAGAGACAAAGAGAGGCAGAAAAAGTGGAGGAAAGAAGAGGAAAAGTGCAGCAGGACAGAGTGAATCTCTCATCAGAGGTCCCAGGCAGCAGTGGGGTTTCCTCCCGGCCACTGTCCTGCAGGCAGAATGGCAGAGGGGGCCCAGCTCTCCATCTCGGCCCTGGTGTGGGACTGAGGCCTGTCCCTGAGGTTGCTGAGGCCCAATCAATAGGCTTCTAAGACAAGGCAAGACAGGGAGGACGAGCAGGGGGCTGGAGAAAGTGCTGACCTTCACCCCGGGTATGCTCTAACACCAGCCTCATGGCCCATGGGCCACACATCACCCTTTCATCTCTTCTTTTCATCTTTTTTTTTTTTTTGAGTTGGAGTCTCACTCTGTCGCCCAGACTGGAGTGCAGTGGCCACTCCCAGCCACCGCAGCCTCGACCTGCTGGGCTCCGGCGATCCTTCCGCCTCAGCCTTCCAAGTAGCCGGAATTACAGGCATGCGCTACCACGCCCGGCTGATTTTTTTATTTATTGTATAGATGAGGTCTCGCTGCCCAGGTGGGTCTCGAACCCGCGGGCTCAGGCAATCCACTCACCTCAGCCTCCCAAAGGCGCGGGATTACAGGCTGAGCCACCAAGCCCAGCTCATCTTTTTTTTTCTGAGTCAGACTCTCTCACTCTGTTGCCCAGGCTGGATGGAGGCCAGTGGCACAATCATGGCTCACTACAGCCTAGACCTCCTGGGCTCAGGCGATCCTGCTGCCTCACCCTCCCAAGTAGCTGGGACTACAAATGCACTAAGGCTGGCTAATTTTTTTTTTTTTTTTTAGTAGAGATGAGGTATCTTTCTATGTTACCCAGGATGGTCTCAAACTTGGCCTCAAGTGATCCTCCCGCCTCGGCCTCCCAAAGTGCTGGCATGTGCCACTGCACTCAGCCCTTCTATTGTTTTCTGTCACCTCTGACTAGAGAGGATAAACTAGATGCAATGGCAGTTTCCTGTGAGGGGTCCTGGATTGTTCCAGGGTGCAGGGCACTTGTGCTTCAGTTGCAGGGCGAGTTCAGCATGGATACACAAGGGTCAGCAAGGGCCCCATGATGCCCGCCCACAGAGTAGGTGCCTTCCTATGCGGGCAGGTATGGCAGGGAGAGGGGGCTGTGGGGAGACAGACAGCCCTGCTGCACCTCATTGCTTTTTCTTCCCATGTTCCTCAGCTCGGACACAGACAGCCCAAGACCCCTGGCTGGTGTCTGCAGTGAGAGGAACGCGCCTCACCTCGGTCTTCTCCAACAACCGTGGGCCCAGCAGGAAGGCTGGGGCAGGAAGGCTCCTCATACTGCAGGAGACCATTCACATCCCTGTGGGGAGAGCAAGCAAGGAGAGTTGCTGATGGGTCCTGCACGAGGCAATACTGACATTGCACAGGCAAGTTTGATCGAGTTTTCACATGAATTCCTCCCCCCAACAAACACACAGACATTACAAGATAAAGGTACACAGCCGGTAAAGAGTCGAGGAATATTAACTTCCCAAGATCCAGGCAAGTCTTGTGTTTAACAAACAATAAGAAAAACTTAACTAAGGTAATGAAGGGGACCTGCAGTTTCAAGTCTGCTCACTGTCAGCTGGCGGCAGTTCCTTCTCCCTTGTTTACTGCCTGCCCCTAACAAAACCCGTTCTTAAGGAGTCCTCCTTGCCCATCTAGCTGCCTGCTTCACAAACTCTCCGACTTAACAGCAGCCTCCTGTCCTCTCACAACGAGGCTGGCCCCTAGGACCAAGCTACATTTCTCCTGAGACGCCCTCCTTCTTGCCTACCCTACTCCTCTGTCAATAAGGGGCACCTGTTCATTCCGTCCCAAGCTGCAGAAGTCATCACACAGAGGAACTGTCAACGTGTGTCAACTCAGCTCTTGCCAAACATTCTAAATCCCCCGTGCTCAGTTGACTCCTGTCTTCACAGTAACCACTGCTGACTCCTTCTGCTTCCAGAAACAAGGACCCTTCTAACGTGGCCAGTAACTGAAAAGACCAGTGATGCCACAGACATCTCCAAATGAAGTGCATTTACTTGGAAAGTCAACTCCTTCTGATTTATTAATAAAATCAGATTTTACTTTCCTATATACCCTTAGTTTTCATAGTTTATCCCGAAGAACCAAATACAAAGAAAAACACACTGACTGACAGGAAAGGTACATAAAGCATATTGTAAAAGCTGAAAAACTCACGTGGGATTGCAGATGTTATGAGAAAGATTCAGGGAGATGGGAGTTTCAGAAGGAAAATCGTTTTGTAAAACACTGTCTCCTGCGTGAAGAAACAACACATTTATCACATGTTTTGAAAGTAGAATTTAGCGATGATGTGAAGCAGATCACCACCCAATCACCTTAATGGTTTTCCCCCCATCAAGGGGAATGGTTAAAAGGACTCAACCACAAGCAGCCAGTGGCCATTGCCTTGCTAGACTCTGGTGTGGCCATTGCTCTTTGAGCTATGGCTGTCACCATGCTTCCTGGCTTTGGCTCCATCCTCTACCTTGGGGAGGTTAATATTCTCTTTCTCTTCTCTTTCTCTAATTTACTTTTAAATAAACTATATTTTTAATCTAAAAAAAAAAAAGTAGAATTCATTGTATATATTCTGCACTAAAATATGTAATTTTACAGTCGTCTAATTTTCAAAGGCCTTTTCTAATATATCTTGTCATTGAAAGGTTAATAAAGCTCAACATTTAGATTGAAAAATTTGGGATTAATAATGCTACTTTATGAAGAAAAGTTGAAACCCCATATTATGTAACTTTTGACAATATTATGTAACTTTTTAATAAGGTTTTGCTGAGAGAAAAATTTAGCTATACATTATAAGAATTTTAAATAAATGATTAAATTTCTATAAACTATAATCTTTATGAATTATTTATTTAGAGGAAAGTTGTTTCTATAAATTTATTTATGCAAACATTTATTTATATTAATATATATTATTTATTTAGAAAAAATTATATAAATATATGTATCAATAATAAAAATGATAGCGTCCACTCCTCTGGTTTATAAAAGTAGTGTGGCCATTGTAGGAAATCTATTAAAAAAAAATACAAGTTTAAAGGTGAAAAATATAAATCACCTGCAATTATACTACCATTAGAAACATTTAGGTATATTTCCTGATGAATGTGTATATTTTTTTGTATGTGTATGTATATGTAAACAATTGGCACTGTACTTCATATATACTTTGTCATTTGGGTCTTTGACACCATTTACTGCACTGGGGACATTTTCCTGCTATTCCATAACCTTCAAATGTAACTTACAGACTATATGCTGTGTACAGTTCATACATAACAATGTTTACTATCTAATGTTGGCCTTTCCCCCAAGCAAAAGTTGCACTTCTAGTCTTTTCTTTATGTTAACTTTTGATTTTTAAAATCTCACATTAGCAACATCAGGCAAACCTTTAGTCTCTAGTAGTAAATGGACCTCTACAGTCTACATCAGGGTATAAACATTTCATGGAGGGCCACTAGGAAGACAATGTCTATAAGGCTGGGGGGCAGGGGAGGGAAGACATGGCTGGGCAGCGTGGGCATTCCCTCTGGGCTTTCATGGCTACCACTGCGCTGGTCTCTCAGACAAGACCTTCTTTTCAGGTGTCACTGCTGGTAGGAGAGAGTGAAGGTACAGTGCAGCCCCCGAGGCTGCTGAAGCAATGTCTTTGCAACTGGAGTCTACCACAAGGAGCAGCCCGTGAGAAGGCCAAGAAATGAGGTGGGATGTGCACTGGGCTCTGGGGAAGAAGCACGAGTTTGAGGCAGAGTTACTATGTGGTATTGAACAAGCCAGGCAACCTCTCAGAGCATGAGTCTTCACATGAGGATGGGAACAGAACACCTGCCCTGTCTTTCTCATGGGGCATGCAGGAAGTGTGAAAATGCTTGACAAATGCAAGGCGTCACACAAACAGGAACTGTGTGATCTCACTGCCTTTTCTTTTCAACTAAGGTTAAAAAATTCCTATGTTGAAAACAGCACTTAACATGAAAAAACTGTATCTTTCCACAGACACAAGCTATGAAAAATAACACTGAAGCCGGGCACAGTGGCTCATGCCTGCAATCCCAGCACTATGGAGGCCGAGGCGGGAGGATGGATTAGCCTAGGAGTTCGAGACCAGTCTGGGCAACATAGCTAGACCTCATCTCTACGAAAAATAAAACAATTAGCCGGGTGTGATGGTGTGTGCATGTAGTCACAGCTACTCAGAAAGTTGAGATAGAAAGATCACCTGCACCCAGCAGCTCAGCTGAGGCTGCAGTAAGACATGATCGTGCCACTGCACTTCAGCCTGGGTGACAGAGTGAGACCCTGACTCAAAAAAGAAAAAAAAAGAAAAAAGCAAGTTGAGTGAAAACAACAAGAGGCAGAGTGCTATCATGAAGTATGATTGCATTTGTCAGTTAAAAACTAACCATCTGCCTTTTGTTGATGGTTTTGTTAATGAATGTACAATTTTAAAATGGACAGCAAGAGTACACACCAAATTCAGGACAGCAGAAAGTGATTCTCTTGGGGAAGAGCATGTGGATAAATTTTAAAGCATTTTTTCCTTAAAAAAAAATATCAAGCAAATGTGACAAAAGTAAGAGTTGCTAATTCTGAGTGACAGAAATACAGATGCTTCTTTGACCTCTCCCTATCATTAAACTTCTCTCAAAGAAGGAAGGGCCAATGTTCACAGCAGCATTCCTCATAATTGCCAAAAGGTGGAAGCAGTTCAAGGGTCCATGTCCGGAAGGATGGAGAAACACAGTGGCATATACATACAAGGAAGGTTACTCAGCCTTAGGAAGGAAATTCTGACACACGCTACAACACTGTTGAACCTTGAGGACGTTACACTAACTGAAATGATCGAGTCACAAAAAGATCATCAGAACCAGGCTCGGTGACTCAGCCTGTAATCCCACGCCTTGGGAGGCTGAGGTGAGTGGACTGCCTGAGCCCGTGGGTTCATGACCCAACTGGGCAACTTGGCGAGATCTCATCTCTACAATAAATAAAAAATCAGCCGGGAGTGGTAGCACGCGCCTGTAGTTCCAGCTACTTGAAAGGCTGAGGCGGAAGGATTGCCAGAGCCCAGCACGTCAAGGCTGCGGTGGCTGGGAGCGGCCACTGCACTCCAGTCTGGGTGACAGAGTGAGACTCCAACTCAAAAAAAAAAGATCATCATACGGTATGATTCCACTTACTTGAAGCACTTAGAGTACCTAGTGTTGGCCAATTCATGGAGACAAAGGAGAATAGTGATTACCGGGGCAACAAAGAGGGAGGAATGAGCAGTTACTTAATGGGTGCAGAGTTTGTTTTGCAATATGAAAAGTTCTAGAGATGGACAGGGGTGATGGTTGAGCAACATTACGAATGGACTTAATGCCACTAAACGTTTTTTTTTTTAATTTTTTTGAGTCAGAGTCTCACTGTGTCACCCAGGATGGAGTGCACAGCACACTCACAGCCACCGCAGCCTGACCTGCTGGGCTCAGGCGATCCTTCCATGGAACTCAGCCTTCCAAGTAGCTGGAACTACAGGCATGCACCAGCATACCTGGCTAACTTTCTGTATTTATTGTAGAGACGAGGTCTCAACAAATTGCCCAGGTTGGTCTTGAACCCGTGGGCTCAGGTAATCCTCTCACCTCTGCTTCCCAAAGTGCTGGAACTACAGGCATACACTACCACAGTCACTAATTTTTTGATTTATTGTAGAGATGAGGTCTCTCCAAATTGCCCAGGCTGGTCTCGAACCCCTGGGCTCAGGTAATCCTCTCGCCTTGGCCTCCCAAAGTGCTGGGATTACAGGCATGAGTCACTGTGCCCCTGACCATAGAACTTAAAAATGGTTAAAATGAGCCAGGCAGGGTGGCTCAAGCCTGTAATCTCAGCACTTTGGGAGGCCGAGGTGAGGGGACTGCCTGAGCCTATGGGCTCGAAAACAGCCCAAGCAATTTGGAAAGACCTCATCTCTACAATAAATCAAAAAATTAGTCGGACATGGTAGCGTGTACCTACAGTTCTGGCTACTTGGAAGACTGAGGTGGAAGGATCGCCAGAGCCCAGCAGGTCCATGGTGAGGTGGCCACGAGAGTGCCACTGCCCTCCAGCCTGGGCGATGGAGTGAGACATCGACTCAAAAAAAAAAAGGTTAAAATAACAAACATTGTGTTATGCATACCTTGCAATAAAAAAGTGTGTACAAATGAAAGATTAAATGTGGAAGCTCTTAACTGTTTCAAAGACAGACACTAAGAAGTAATAACAATAATGATAATGATGGAGGGAAAGGAGGAGGGAGGAAAGGAAAAGAAAGAGAATGACATCCAGAGCAAAGATTCAAGTCCCTCTGTGCTCAGGGTACCAGCAGGTGGATCCAGACACGTCCTGGGTGCACAGGAGGAAATGGAAGGGGCCCCTCGGAGCACTCGGAGCTCCCCTCACAACTCACCTGCCGGCAGGAAGTGCTGGACGTCCACCACGGGCTTCTTGTCCCCATCGGAGCTGCTGGTGCTGCTCCAGCTGCCCCAGCTGCCCCGGCTAGCTCGCACACTGCCCGAGGAACTCCCGCAGTCGGAGCTGGAGTCGGAGCAGAACTTGTCCCCGTGCTTCTTCTCAGGCTTCTGGTAGTAACCCTCTGGAGGAAGTGAAAGAGCAGTCACATTTCACTGAGACAACTGTCAACGTGACATGTCTCCAACAAAAGGAGCGAGGGAACCCCAAGAAGAAGGCCAGGGCTGGCTTCAGGGTTGACTACGTCTGCTTATCTAGCAGGAGGAAGGGAGGGCTGCATCGAATCAAAGGTAGCACTTAAAGAAATAGTGGGGGATGGTCTATGTCTACCCCACCCTAGGGCCGGAGCAATCAGGGGCCAAGATGGTCAGCACCAAAAATAATCATCATCTAAAAACGCTTCTAAGCCGGGCTCGGTAGCTCAGCCTGTAATCCCGCGCCCTTGGGAGGCTGAGGTGAGTGGATTGCCTGAGCCCACGGGTTCGAGACCCGCCTGGGCAGCGAGACCTCATCTCTACAATAAATCAAAAAGTCAGCCGGGCATGGTAGCACACACCTGTAATTCTGGCTACTCGGAAGGCTAAGGTGGAAGGATCACCGGAGCCCAGTGGTCGAGGCTGCGGTGGCTGGGAGCGGCCGCTGCACTCCAGTCTGGGCGACAGAGTGAGACTCCAACTCAAATAAATAAATAAATAAATAAAAACGCTTCTAAAAATATCAAACAACCTCTATCACAAAAGCCACGGCTGCTCCATTGGACTACAGAGTGGTAGGCCATTTTCTACCTCTCTGTATGAAGAGGTCCACTAACAGTTTCAACACATGGGCGTGGTAGCTCATGCCTATAATCCCAGCACTTTGGGAGGCTGAAGCAAGAGGACTGCCTGAGCCCATGGGTTCGAGACCAGCCTGGGCAATTTAGCGAAATCTTGTCTCTACAATAAACCAAAATATCAGCCAGGTGTGGTAGCACGTGCCTGTGGTTCCAGCTATCTGGAAGGCTGAGGCGGAAGGATCGCCTGAGCCCAGTAGGTGGAGCCTGCAGTGGCTGAGAACATGCCATTGCATCCAGCCTGGGTGACAGAGTGAGACTCTGACTCAAAAAAAGAGTTTCAAAATAGTATTGATGTGTACACGGAAGCATCTCCAGTAAGACCAAAAGCGACACATACGGATCGGGGATGAAAGAGAAAGGGTGGAGACAGAAGACAGTTTACTCTGCCAGCCTGTGTGTACCAACCTGGGGCATGTGCTGGGGAAGTGGGTGTTGGCTGAGAGGACTGGAAATACCCATTCCCATGTACCCCACATGTACTGCCAACTCAACTAACCCCTAGACCTCCACCATCCTGAGCCTGACCCTGGACCCAGCATGGGGTGTCCCTCTGTTTTCTACTCCCAGAGACACTGGGCAACAGTCCTCGGCTGGGACAGCAGCCAGGCCCTGTGGAAATGTCCTGACTCAGATGTGGGATTAACACTGTCTCGCCTGGTTACTTGGTGGGTCCCGTCTGGAGCAAGAAACCATTATTCCTTCAGTAATATGCAAGAGGATAGTTAAAATGACCAGATTAGAGCACGGGGTGCAGGCAACATTAGAGACCTACTCAGGCTCAAGAGAACCTCAGCTTTCTGTCTTACTCTCACGGCTCTCCGTAGGGGCCTTGGTTAGCTGCATTGTCTATACAAAGGTTGTATCATCGAGATGCCATTTCTCTCACTGGATACATCCTTGGGGAAACAAAACTCCCCACAGAAGAAGCTCTTGTAGCTAAATGTCATCACATACCTGCCTCTCGCTGTGGGGCCGGGAAGCTGCCTGCAGCCTCAGTGTCTGCTTTGCAAACCTCCCTAATGTCTTCCTGTAGACACCAGTTTCGTACATCAATGTCACTGCTCAGCTCAGGCCTCTTGAAGTCGCTGCACATAAGCTTTAGCTCACTCTGTTCGGAAGGCCTGGAAGAGCCACAGAAAGATTATGTCTGTGTTTTATCGCGTATACACGCAGACTTCCTCTCTAAGACATGTGAGAGGTGAAATGTGAATCTGGACAACCTGAGTCCTGTTCTTTCTGAGTCTGACGGGGGAATAGGAGGAAGAAGGGATAGAAGTAAGAAAAAGACTTTGCCATTTTAGAATTAGAGTTAATTTGGAGCTCATTTAATCTATTTTCATAGTTTACAGTAGGAGGAATAAGATTCCACAAGGTCACTCAAGGTCACCTAGTAAGTAGTTGGTCCAGAACAAGAATCCAGAACTCTTGGCTTGTTTTCCTTGTTTTTAGTATAAAATATGATTCTCAACAGATAAACCTGCTCCTTGGTGTCTGGCAGAAAGCTGTGAGTGTTCACCTAAACACATTCTTATTCATTCTTTAGCAAGTATTTATTGAGTGGCCGTGGACTATTATTAAAAGTGCAGCAACTACAAAGAAGAAAAAAGTTCTGCCCTCCAAGGATTTCGAAGTTGAACAACCTTACAAGACCATAAATGTCTTGAGGGAAGAACTGTAAAACAATTTCATAAACAGTAATACAGAAATGTAGAGAATGCTAGAGAAACAAATGGTTATTTCACACGGTCCAATTTCAGTACCTAATGTGAGGTTTGTGGGATGGCGGGTAAGAAGATCAAACATGTGAGATGTACCAGATGATGTCACTGATTTCTGATCAAGGTATAAAAGAATACACAGAAACAAGGGCCAAAGACAGATAATCCAATAATAACTGCCACCTACTTCACAAGTATCATGACCCCAAAACACTATGATTAGCTATAGGCTACTTGAAAGTGATTTTTTTTTAACAATATCATTTAATTATTTAATATTTCAGAAAGCTGCCTTTAAAAATGCACCCCAAGTCAGGTGCAGTGGCTCACGCCTGTAAACCCAACACAGTGGGAGGCCGAGGAAGGAGGATTGCTTGAACCCAGGATTTCAAGATGAATCTGGGCAACATAGCGAGACCTCATCTCCACAAAAAAATTTTAAAATGAGCTGAGAGTGGTGGTGCACAACTGTAGTCCCAGCTACTTGGGAGGCTGATGCAGAAGGATCACCCTAGCCCAAGAAGTCAAGGCTACAGTGAACTGTGATCATGCCATTGCACTCCAGGCCTGTGTAACAAAGTAAGGTCCCCACTTCAAAAAAAAAAAAAACATACACTCCAACACTTAACTAGTGAAATTCCATTCTAATTTTATGTCTTTTTATATGCTCATATCAGGAAGACATAATACCTTAAGGTGACCTCATATCATGGTGAATCAAATGTTTATGAAAATGTATGTAGGACAACCCCCTCAGGTCCCCTCCCACTATGGGAGCTTTTCTGTCCTCTCAATAAATCCTGCTTTCAATTAAAACAAAAGAAAGAAAAAATATATATGTAAAGGAATGCAGTTAGATCTGACTTTTCCTTTCTACAGCATACTGCCTTGCAACTTTCAAATAATTTAGCCTTCATAATCCAGCCTCAATAGGGAAAAGTAGTCAATATTAGCACCTACTGTTAACAAGAAATTAATAAGAGGTATGCGCATTTCTTTCACAGTTACATTTTGCTGACTGTTCCAGGTGAGCTGGGTGCAGGAGCAGAGCCTGAAGATACCCAGAGCTGTTGCCTGGCCATGACCCAGTGAGGGCATCTGGGAGTCTCTGGGGAGCATGGTATGACTCTGAAAGCCCGGCTCCGAGCAAAAGAGAACAACTTCCTCCGGGCCCAAGGGCAGGGACAAAAACAGCACCACAATGCTCCAGTGTCAGAGTGCCGCCACAGCACAGGTGGTTCTGCCAGAGGGTCCCTCCTAGTGACAGGCTGAACTGTGGCAAGGTGAACCCTTAGCCCCATATAGATGCATCACTGCTAGAGAAATATGTAACAGAAACATACCTAGGAAGCTCAAAAATAGGGCAATCCCTATGCCAAAGGATGGGGGTGAGGGTGAGCAAATACCATGCAGGAAATAGGCCTTGCTGCCCAGAGGCCGGGTCTGAATGCCCACTCCCGGATAGCCTCAAATGGACATCAGAGAGCTGCAACTGAGTCTCCAGGGTGAGACTGGGGCCCTGGAAGGGGAAGCCCCAGTGCACAGGAGACCCAAAAAGCTCCGTCCCTGGACCCAAGGAGGAGAAAGACAGGGAAGCATGTGCCTGCCGGAGGCTCCAGGCATGCATATGTGCAGGGCATCGGAAGTCTAAGAACTCAAAACTCAGAAACTCTACCACTGGGGGTGATCTGGAGTCAGGATGCACACACTACTGACTGGTGAAAAAATCCTCAAGCTGAGAAATGTATGTAAAATAAGATATAGGGGATATTTCTAGCAATATAGGGTTTCCACACAATCCCTGTCCAGATTCTTCATTTATAGATAAAAAAAATGAGAGCTCAGGGACATTGAGTCTCTCAGAGCAAGGTTTTCAATGCAGGGTGCCCACTGCCTGGGCTTCAGTCCTGGCTCTGCCCCTTACCAACCAAACCAGTACCTTGGCGCAAACCATGTGAGGGCTGGGCGCCTCACTTCCTGCAACTGTGAGAGCCTACCGCCTGCAGGACTAAAGCAAGGGCCCAAGTGGAGACAACTCCACGTCATTACTGAGGCCTCAGCTACCCCAGGTGGGTCAGGGGCTAGACTGGGAACTGGAAGGTTTTCTCCAGTTCCTGCACCTGCATCTCACAGGCAGAATGATGGTCTTCACATGAAGGGGGTAAGCTTATGCTTTTTCCCTAAAACCTTCCATAGCATTACCATTTTATAAAAGAAAGATACAAAAAAACTGTAGCCACTTTGTTTTATTCTTTCTAACAAAATAAAAACATAATGGGAAAATTTTAATTTTACAAGTAGAGTTTAATTTTTAAAAATAAACACCTACACTCTCACCTGTATCCAACATAACAGAGGTGTAAAAGGTTATGGCTAAATGCAAAATAAGAAAGCAAAAAATAGATCAAAATGTTAAAATTTCCCTTTACAGGGACTATAAAAATCACGTACCTTGAGACCTGAGTAGTGCCTCTTTTCTTGTTTTTTCTACACGTTCGACTTTTATTTGAATTTAAATTTTGCACATTTCCTTCTTTTTTCTCCTGAAGCTTCTTCTTCCTATAAGGATCTTCTTGCTAAAGAGGAAAAAGAAAACATTTAGTGTTTTAAAGTGACTAGACATAAATAAAAATGTACAACTTTTTTTTTTTAACTCTGAAGACCAATTCCATTTGAATTCAGAACATCCCAGTGCCAGTGAAAACTGAGACAAGTTTCTCAATCTCTAGTTTGTTTTCATTTCCTTTCTTGCTCTACTTCTCTCGAGCTCCACAGAAAAAGAAGAAAAAAAGAATTGTTGTCTCTAAAATTCCTAAGGGGCTAAAAAGGAAAAACATCTGCTAGCAATTTATGGTCAGCTTGCTGTTAACTTTAGCTATAATAAATCCCCCAACCTTCACCTGTTAATTTGGTATGTGCAACCCACATGAATTACTGCACTACTGGAGAAATCAAGCAAGAACTCAATCTAGGAGCAAGCTGTGTCGTTATGTTTTCAATTGCTTATAGATGAACTTTAGGAGAAGCACCAAGTCCCACAGAATGCTCCAAACTAGCTTAAGCTTCTTAGGTAAATAAGGCAAGAAAACACTTGATGTTTTTAAAATGTGGTTCTGAAAAGCTCAATGTAGCACGAGATGCAAACATATATATATATATATACATATATATATAGTGTGTGTGTGTGTATTAAATATCTATAATCTTTTTAATTGGGGCTTTTTTCCTCTTTTAAATGTCAGGCACAGCCTGGCCCTTTCAAAGGTTGAAGTAGCTCAAGTTGTTAGCATCTCCCAATCCCTATTACTTCTATTACTTCTCTTCCTTCAATATGTTGTCCCCTCAGAGCAGAGACACTGTCAGCAGGTAGGAGAGTCAGGAGATCACACATTGAGAAACCCAAGGGCTTAAAAACCACATCTCTTAAGTGTGGCAGGCCTGTTCAGGGGGAAACTTCTCCAGGGGCCTCTCAGAGGCAAATCTCTTAGTTCAGAAGAGTCCTCTTCCTATTAATTGACCCCCAGGATTCACACTGCATGAAAAGCAAAGATTGGATCATTTTACCTTCTTTTTCAGAAGGTTGGTCCAGAAATTACAATAAGAATGCATGAAGTTCTTACACACTCTTGACTAATACATTTAACTTGCAAGGTCAAAAAGAAAAGGTTTTAGATGCCTGCATTCCCTACGTGTTCTATATCTACAAACTGCAATCCCCACGCATCTATTAAAGCAACGTGCTCTCCATAATCAACAGATGCTAGATACAAAATGAGATTTTAACTGTAGAGGCAGTGGGAATATGACATTTTTTCTTTCTTCTTTATACTCCTATAACTCCCCCCCCCCCAGTAAGTATGTATTAGCTTTTTTCCTGATGCTGAAGGTATTTTTAAAATATTTAAAAACCTGACAAGTTAAACACAAAGCCCCATCCTACAGGGTCTAATGCTCATTGCCTGTTTGATGCTAAACAGACACATGAAAAATGTACAGACTCATGATCCAATGTCAAACATTAGTCATGCACCATATTTATTCCTGTACTGTTCCTTTGTGTATTTCTAACTCAAGGGGGAGTCCCCCCTCATCTACTCAAAGGCCAACAAAGGCCTGTCAATATAGCAAGCACTTAGCCCTTTCGTCCCTCCAGGGTCAGGTACAAATAAAGGATGGTCTCTAAGTGATGTCCAAGAAAGCGTGGGCTCTTGGCTGTCACTCTGTACTTGGCCACCTCTCTCAAACCTGTGTGGCTGGAACTATCATCAAGCGCCAGCAAGAGTTTAAGCATTCAGGACTCCTGAGAGGGAGGCTTCGGTGGGCGGAAGCATCACCGAGTTCTCCGTGAGGATGAGAAGGGAGAGAGAGTACTGGACAGGTTGGACTTGGGGTGAGCAGAATGACTGAGAAGTGGGGTCCATGAGCAACACCACAGGGGCAGGACAAAGCTATGAGCCAGGGCAGAGAAGTAGAAGGCGTAGCAAGGAATGAAAAGACTAATGGATGGTCTTTGTCTTTGGGGGCTGGGGTGGGAGTACCACTGCAAATACTGGGCAATGGAGAGGGAGGTGGTCCAGTTGGGCGAAGACAGAACAGGCCTGCAACAAAGGCAGTGGATGGAACAGAACAGGGAAGCGAACCAGAGAACCACGGCAACAGACCTGTCAAGAAATCCGAGGAAGAGTGAAGACCATCTGGTTCTCTGCTTTCTGGTATAGAGGGTCCTACAGAGGAGGAGGCAGGATTAACCAAGAAACTGAGTCACACAGAGCTGCAATTAAGAGCACAGTTGGTTGGGCTTGGTGACTCAGCCTGTAATCCCAGCACCCTGGTAGGCCGAGGCGAGTGGATTGCTTGAGCCCGCGGGTTAGAGACCAGCCTGGGCAACTTGGTCTCTACAATAAATCAAAAACTAGCCAGGCGTGGTAGCATGCGCCTGCAGTTCTGACTACTTGGAAGGCTGAGGCGGAAGGATCACTGGAGCCCAGCAGGTCGATGCTGGGGTGGCCGTGAGCGTGCCACTGCACTCTCTTTGTGGGCAACGAAGTGAGACTCCAACTCAAAAAAAAAAAAAAAGAGAGAGAGAGCACAGTCTCTGGATAAAGGAAATATGGTATGTATACAAGATGGACTATTACACAGCCATAAAGAACAAAATTATGGCCTCTGCAGCAACATGGATGCAGGTAGAGACCAGGATACTAAGTGAACTATAACAGAAACAAAAAACTGAATATCACATGTTCTCACTTATAAGCAGGCCCTAATCACTGGTCACACAAGCACAAGTGTGGGATCAGCAGATGCTGAGCATTGCTAGGGGAGGGAGGGGAATGGTGGTGACACACTGGGTCCCAGATCCACTATCGGGGGGGAGAGGGCCCGCTAGAAGCCCCAATTTCACCAGTATGCAACTTACTTATGTAGTAAATCCTAACTTGGACCCCACAACTATAACATAACATAATGTAACATAACATAGAAAGAGAACTGTCTCTGAGGCTAAACTGCCTAGCTTGTAATCTTGGGCAAGTGACTTAGTCTTTCTGCCTCAGTTTCCTGAGACTTCCTTGAAAGGCTGTTGAGAGGATTAAATTACCTGGCACCTGGTAAGCAGTTTATATGAAACTTAGTTATCATCATCATTATTCTTGAATTATTTGAACTAGTTAAGTTCTCCGATCTCCCTGACAGAGGTGACAACTTAACCAATGGCAGAGTGAAGAAAGATTTCCTAAGCTTTAATAAAAGCAAAGGAAGAAATCAAAGAAGAGAAATCCCAGACTGACTGCTCAGAGGCATTCTTAAAGTCACTGCATGCAAGTCAAAGCAAACAAAAATAAGAAGCAAGGACAAACTGGGGAAAAACTCAGATACATAACATACATAACAAAGAGTTAACAATATCCTTAACATATAAAGTTCTCTTACAGAAAACAAGAAAAAAAAAACACTAACAGTGAAAAGAAAAGTGGGCAAAGGACATGAAATACAAGTTCAGAAAAAACTATAAGAGGCAAAAAAAAACCCCAAAAATCTGAAAAACTCACCCAAAATATTTCACAATAAAATAATGTTTTTAAGATGGGCAAGCCAGGCTTGGTGGCTCAGCCTGTAATCCCGCGCCTTTGGGAGGCTGAGGTGAATGGATTGCCTGAGCCCGCGGGTTCAAGACCCGCGTGGGCAGCGAGACCTCATCTCTACAATAAATCAAAAAATCAGCCAGGCATGGTAGCGCATGCCTGTAATTCCGGCTACTTGGAAGGCTGAGGCAGAAGGATCGCCGGAGCCCAGCAGGTCGAGGCTGCGGTGGCCGGGAGTGGCCACTGCACTCCAGTCTGGGCAACACAGTGAGACTCCAACTCAAAAAAAAAAGACGGGCAAATTATAGACTAGCCTGTATCTCTCCTTTCCATTTTGGTTTTAGAAAACACAAATGTGTTTGTGATGCATGTTTATTCCTGCAAACCCCCAGGAAATGGCGAGGGAATCAGGATCCTGGTAACAGTGTACCTCTAAACAGTAGAGATGGGACTACGTTAGACATTCACGTCTTAATTTATAGAATTTCTTTTCAATCGTAAAATTTTGGATGGACAATTTTACTTTACTATGTTTTTTTAGATTTTTACCAAAAAAAAAAAAAGGAGAGAGAGAGAAAGGAGAATGCTCACCTTTCCCTGGTAAGATGCAAATGGAAAAGAAAATCCAAGTGGGATTTCTTCACCTATCACGTTGACCAAGATTCTGCAAACAACTGATTTTGCCAAGAAGGGAATGAAACCAGCACTCCCAGATACCATGCACAGGAAATCAGTATCAGCTTTTAAGAAAGCAATGTGGCAGCAGCATGTACAAACACATCAGGTAGACAGGCAAGAGTTATAAAAAAATGTTGTTCATCACAGAGTTATTTATGAAAGTAAAAAGCTAGAAACAATCTTACTGTCTAATTGCAGGAGAATGGCTTACATGATAGCACAAATGATGAAATACTTTGTAACCACTCAAAAAAAGCTCTCCACTTAATTTTTTTAAGAGAATTGATTTATATATACACAATGCAGTGTCACGTTCACGGATACCACAGCCTCGACCTGCTGGGCTCAGGAGATCCTTCCCGCCTCAGCCTTCCAAGTGGCTGGAACTACAGGCGTGCGCCACCATGCCTGGCTAATTTTTTGATTTATTGTAGAGATAAGGTCTCAGCAAGTTGCTCAAATCCCTGGGTTCAGGCAATCCTCCCATCTCCGCCTCCCAAAGTGCTGGGATTATAGGTAAGCCACTGCACTCAGCCTGATTTTGGAAAGATCTTTCTCCCCCTTCATCTTTATACTTTTATAATAATCATGAGTTACTTTTCTAAGGGAAAAAAGGTATTTTTAAAGGAAACTAAAAATCCAGAGCTAGAGTTAAAATTTAGTTTGTGGATTCCAAACCTGGGCTTCAACTTTCCTTGCCAATAAATTTAGGGGAATGTTCCCCGTGTACTATATAGACAGATTTACGCAATTTTCTAAGCTGCAAAATTAGGCCCTAAGAATGTGCAAGAAAAACAAACACTGAGCACTGCACTTGGAAATGTGTTTATTGAGAACAATTTTCTCCAAATGAACAATGAAATGGAAAGTATACTCATGGGATTTTAAAGAACAGTTCTACAAAACAGAGCATGAGTCACAGAGACAGCTAAGACATGGCAAACCACAGCCCCTCAATCTGTGCCAGAAAATCCACCTTGGTTGACTTGGCTAGAGGCAATCTTGGGCCACAGGGTTCGGCCTGAGTCCCCCAAATCCCTCAGACTGGCCTCCCTCCTGCTGAGCTGACAGCCACCATCAGGTACAGATGTCTGTCCTACACAGGCTCACTGACCAGATAAGGAGGGAGGACTTACACAACCGCTGGGACGGAGTGCAAGAACTGTCTGAGCTCCAGAGACAGAGTAAAGAGGTGAGGCTCATGCTCTCCAAGAAGTAATGGCAAAGACACACAGAAAAGGAATTAAATAAATTAATAAATTGCCTTAACAAGGGATACAGTTAAGTCTCACATGAAGAGCCAGGGAAGCCTTCAAGGCAGAAGTCATGTCTGAGGTAGAGAGTGCCCATGCACATGGCCAGCGGCAGCTCCACTGTCCCCAGGGCCACTGAGGGCTAATGAGACCTGGGGATGGTCCATTTCAGTTTCTCCTCCCTTCAAGCAAGGCTGTGTGGTTGGGAGAGTCAGTCCATCTCCGTGTTGGGTTCTATTTCACTGCAGGCAACAGGTGAGTCTCCAAAGCCCATGCCTAAAGCATGCTAGGTTCAATTTCTAACTTCACTCATCCATTCCCTCCTTCCCCAAACCAATGACTTTATTTCTGTTCCCGAAAATACGTCCTATCCTCACCTTTGAGTGTAGCTTTTTGTACATCTGCTAAACCTGCCACTTCAATCCACCTTTAATTCATCACTGCCTCTCCACGGTTCAGACCCAGGTCCCTGGTCGTGTCTCTGTACACACCTCAGACACTCCATGTCGACCCTCCACAGGCATAACTCCCAAGTCTCAAGCTCCAGGTCTGACCTGTCACAGAAGCTCACATGCCCTGTCTCTTGCTGTTCACCACACGGTGCAAACAACTGTGAAGTCCAGCCACCCCTCTGTTGGTAACGATCATGGTCACACCTATCACTCTTTGGTACTTACTACTTGTCAGTACTTGTCAGTGCTGCCTGCCATTCTAAAGTCATTCTCATATTAACTCATTTAATTCTCACAACCCTATGAGGCAGGTATGCTAGTATCATTTGCATTTTGCAGAAGGAGGGAACTGTGATGTTAACTGGCCCAATATCGTGGAAGGAATAAGTGATGAGTCCATGCTCTTAACTATGACACGACATTGTTCTGACAGACACAAAAATGAGCTCGTTACACACATCAGCATTCCCCATGTTCTAGTCACTCAGGCTTTGGACCTTGGAGTCATCTTTTGTAAATGGCTGTGTGAAAAAAAAATGGTTCCTCTCCTTCATGCAATTTAGTGCTGGGAAGTCCTAATGGTTCTTAAATATGAACATAAAATTGAAAACGAGTGCAGTGGCTCACGCCCCTAATACCAACACTTAGCGAGGCTGAGGTAAGAGGCCTGCCTGAGCCTAAGAGTTTGAGACCAGCCTGGGCAACGTGATAAGACATCATCTCTACAAAAAATAAAAAAATTAGCCAGGTGTGGTGGTGCACACTTGTAGTAACACAGCCTCAAAATCTATGTTTGTTATAAGGTTTAAGAAAAACAAAGGAACATGAAAAAGGGGAAAAGAGGCAGGCGTCGGCAAACCCCTTGGGTCCCCTCCCACTGTGGGAGCTTTTCTGTCCTCTCAATAAATCCTGCTTTAAAAAAAAAAAAGAGCCAGGCATAGTGGCCCATACCTGTAATACTTTGAGACCAGCCTGGGTAACATAGTGAGACCTTGTCTCTACAAAAAACCAGGAAAATAGCCAGGCATGGTGGCACATGCCTGTAGTCCCAGCTACTCGGGAGGCTGAAGTGGAAGGATCATCTGAGCCCAGAAGGTCAAGGCTGTGGTGAGCTGCGAACATGCCACTGCACTCTAGCCTGGGTGATAGTGACAACCCACTGCTCCCCTCCAAAAAAAGAGAGAAGGAAACATCCCAAATCCTACCACTCAGAAATTACCAGAGATTCCTGTTTATTATTTCACAAACCTCATTTTTAAATATTTTTCTATGAACCTACACACATGTAAGAATAGCATACAGATAACTGAAATAATTTATAATCCTGGGACCATATGTAAGTTTTAAACAAAAGTATAAGACTTGATTTTATATGAGTTTAACGTAAGAAAAATAAAGTAGAACCAAGGGAACTGTCAACTTGCAAATACTTGTTTCTTCTATACATGATGTATTAATTCATTAAGGATCTCTCTGAGGTTAAAAAAAACCGTAAAAAAGATTATCTTAAGTTATCACTCTTTTAAACATGTCTCACTTTTACACAGTATTGGTTCTCTTCCAAGAAAGATTAAAATTAAAACTCATTTTCACCTTCCCTCAACCCCACCTCCTGGTTTTTGCAAACAGTATTACAATTTTTACTTTCAGTTTTAATATTTGCAATCTGTTCTGTGATTGCAATTGCCAATTGTTTCACTTAGTTCTGGATATAAAATGGATGGAAACCTCAACGTGACATGCCTTCTTCAATCCTGAGTTTTTACTTTTACTTCTATCTGGGTTAACTAAACGTCATTAACTTGATTTTTCAAGAAAGGCTCACAAGTTCATTTGTGTTTAAGAATGTCTGCCTGTTGCCTCTGTACTTGGATGTCAACCTGGTTGGACACAACATTCTTTGTTCATATTTCCATGCTCTCAATGATATAGCTCCACTGTTTTCTGGCACGAAACATTCCTATGGAGAAGTCAGAGGCATGCTTATGTTTGTATTTCTTGATTTTCCTGCCTTTGTACAACTCTTTAAGTCTGAAGTTCAACTGATTTAGCTAGGATGTGCCTATGCCCATTATTATGTATCAATTTTTCCTGATGTACGCAGTGTGCCCTTCTGATCGATGTTTAGTTATTTTCTCACCTCGAGAAAATTCTCTTCTATTATATCGTGAATACTTTTCTGTTTTTTTAGAGAGATGATGATTGATATGGGGACAAAGAAAGACCAAAAAGCAATCCAACTCAGCAAGAGTATGCCCTAAAATATAGACACTGGGTAATAACCAGGTAGAAGGAATATGTGGATCAGGTTCTACTCTGCCATCATTACCTAGGAGTTAATCCATTTGTTTAAAACTAGTTTCTCAGCTGGGCTCGGTGGCTCAGCCTGTAATCCCGCACTTTGGGAGGCTGAGGTGAGTGGACTGCCCGAGTCCGCGGGTTCGTGACCTGCCTGGGCAATTTGGCGAGACCTCATCTCTACAATAAATCAAAAATGAGCCGGGCGTGGTAGCGCGCGCCTGTAGTTCCAGCTACTTGGAAGGCTGAGGCGGAAGGATCGCTGGAGCCCAGCAGGTCAAGGCTGCGGTGGCCAGAAGCGTGCCACTGCACTCCAGTCTGGGCAACAGAGTGAGACTCCAACTCAAAAAATAAATAAATAAATTAGTTTTTCTTGAGAGTAAAAGCTATCTGGTTTCTCTAAAAATTGTCGTATCACCTAAATAATTAGAAGATAAATAAGACTTTCTGAACAAACACATCCAACTCACCAGTTATCAATAAGGATTGAAATGCAATGAAAAGTATGAGACACACATTTTCACTTATTGCACAGATATTTGCAAGCCATAAGCCCTAAAAATGGGTTCATTCTTTTTAATAAGCAAGAAAAAAGGAAATACAGACCTCCACTGAAGGTACGTCCTGTTTCTCAGAACATACATCTTTAGATGCTTTGTGACTCTTCTTTTCTGAAGAAGACTTTGTGTCAACCTTTTTCAAAGTTTCACAACTATTTACTTCATTCTTGACAGGCACTTGCTGGTTATTCCCTTGAATAAACAGAAAAAATTCAATTTCTAGCTAATAACTCCCATTCATATTCCCCATAGATAAACCTACACCAAACATCTTATTTGATTTCATGAGAATTAGACTTCTTTTTAACATCCATGATGCTCCAGAAATTTGTTGATAGGTGGAAATGCATTTAAATAAAGAGCTCTACAAATAATCCTTAAAAGAGGTCAAGGAAAAAAGTCAGAGGACATCAATATTCACAACACCATTGTTCATAATAACTAAAAGGTGGGGGAAAAAAACAGATGTCCACTAATGGGTAAACAGATAAACAAAATGTGGTGCATACATGCAACAAAATACCATTCAGCCTGATTCAATTGCAAAATCAATTGGAATACTTACACCACTGAACTTGCAGTTAAAATGGTTCAGATTAAAAAAAAAAAAGGAATGAAATTCTGCCACATGATACAACATGGATAAACCTTGAAGATATCATGCTAAATGAAATAAGCCAGGCACAAGAGGACAGATGTTTCATGACTCCAGTTATCTGAGGGATCAAGAGTAGTCCAATTCATAAAGACAGAAAGCACGCTGGTTACCAAGGGCCAGGGAAAGGCATGATGGGCATTAACTATTTAATGGCTCAGTTACTGTTTGATGGGGACAGTTACTGTTTGAGATGATAAAAAAGTTCTGGACATGGAAAGGGATAATGGTGATAGCTATGCAACAATGTGAATATATGTAATGCCACTAAACTTTATATTTAAAAACAGTTAAGATGGTAAATGTTATGTATATTCCATCTCTTTTGCTTTTAAGGTGTGAAAGAGGAAGAGAAGGATGAGGACCTGGGTCATGACTCAGCCACGAATTAGTTTTATGATCAAAGTAAGTCTCTGAAGCTGCCTGTACCTTAGTTTATTTATAAAGCAAGTATCACCCCACCTTCCCTGACTCCTATGCTTGACAGCTGATGAAAACAGAACAGATATGAATGTAAAGCATTCCCACCAAAGGATCCAAGGACCATTTCAAGGAAGGCCTGTCCCCTACAGCAAACACCTGCCCCAGTCTGTGCATAGGGCTGCACGAAGGAGAACGAACAGTCGATGAATCTATGGCAAAGATGGATGTGGATAGGAACCTTTTCTGAAACTTGTTTTCTCCAATTTTTCTTTCAAGTGATTTCATAAGCAGACTTCTTCTATCCCTTGCCTCACATCAGAGGCGAATCAACTTCAACCCACAATCACTGGCCTCAGGTTTGAAACAGAGAGTATTTTAATACTTTCTTTTTTTTAATTTTGAGTCGGGGTTTCACTCTGTCACCCAGGCTGGAGCACAAAGACACGATCGTGGCCTCACCACAGCCTCGACCTCCTGGGCTTAGGAGATCCTTCGGCCTCAGTCTGCTGAGTAGCTGGGACTACAGGTACATGCCACCACACCCGCTATATTATTTTTTTTGGTAGAGACAAGTTCTTGCTATGCTACCCAGGCTGGTCTTGAATTCCTAGGCTCAAACAACTCTCTTGCCTCAGCCTCCCAACATGCTGGGACTGCAGGTGTGAGACACTGTGCCCAGGTTTTCCCCTTTTTTCTTTAACTGAGAATTCTTAATGATGCCTTCAAAATCTGAGAAAGTTTAGATGACCACAGTGCAAATATTCCCTAGCAGAGCAGGCTGCAGGCTCTGGAAGGCTGGATGCTTGACCACTGGTCAGCAGAAACTTCAACCCAATCCTGCTGTGGTACTTGAGGTGAGACAGGCCTCTTACCCACAAAACGAAAACAGCAGCCAAGTCTCCCCAATTCAGTAATTCTGAGGCTACAAATTAAACTCACTCGAAGGCAAGACGCACACATTTTTCAAATAACACAAGGTAAACGTACTATTATTCTGTTAACAGAAAACTATATCAATCTTATATAACTATAAAAAATGCTGACCAAGTAAGTGACACACAGCTTGGAAAGTCATACAATGCAAGTTTTTATGGTTTAAATACAGCCACAGCATATTAGGTTTTGTACTTTCAGGAAAAGAGCTCACTTCAACATTAACTTAAGGTTATAATCTCCAAATGTCACAAGATGAATACAGAAAATTAATCTTTTGGCTAGACTCATTACATAAAATAAAACATCAGAGGATGTTTTAATACCTTTGGCTCTAATGGAACAAACTTAAAAATGCAATGGCACAGCCCAGGCAGCACAGCAAGATCTTGACTCTACAAAAAATTAAAAAAAAAAAAAATCAGCCAAGCATGGTGGTACATGGCTGTAGTTCCAGCTACTTGGGAGGCTGAGGTGGGTGGATCACCTGAGCCTAGGAGGTTGCAGTTGTGCTGAGCCATGACTGTGCCAGTGCAGTGCACTCCGGCATGGGTGACAGAGTGAGACCCTGACTCAAAAAAGAAAAAAAAAGGTCAAAGTCATATCCAGAGCCAAATCTGATCAATATCGGCTGCTTTCTTTGTTACCCAGGAATAACTTTAACAGTAGGGTTAATAAAGAAACTGAATCAAAGACAATTAAGACATCTTGCAGAAAGTTCTGTCCCTGTATGAGAATCAACTACCTGCCTTGAAGATTTAGATTTACCTTATTTATTTATCATTATTTTTGGTGCGGGTCTCCCTCTGTCACCCAGGCTAGAGTGCAGTGGCACAATCACCACTCATTGCAGCCCTGAACTCCTAGGCTCAGGGAAGCCTCCCTCCTCAGCTTACCAAGCAGCTGATACTAAAGGTGGGCACCACCATGCCCAGCTAATTTTTTTTACAAGAGGGGCACACCACAAAAAAATACGGAATTATCTTTTGGAGGGCAGGTCCCTTGTGGAACAGGCTTCCCCTGCTAGGTTAGTATTCTAGGAACCCACAGGCATCAGTGCACCAGCTAGCATTTTTGTGAGTCTACATTTGGCTTCAGTGAATTTTTGTGGCAAAACAGGTAACTGGTTCTTCCACCATGACAACCCACCTGCTCATACTGCATTGAGAGGTCAAAAGTTTTTGACCAAAAGCAGGAATGACCCTACCCTATTCACCCAATCTCGTCCTGAGGGACTTTTTTGTTTCCCTGGATGAAAAAATTCTCAAAGGGAAACATTTTGCCAATGTGGAAAATGTAAAACAAAAAAACAGCAGAATGGATGAGTTCAAAAACTGTTCTGAGCAGTAGAAAAAGCATCTCGATAGGGGTACTGCATCAACTGGAGAGTACTTTGAAGGAGACTAAAGTTTAACCATGTAAGAATAAACAGTTTTTTATAAACAAATTCCAAATTTTGGGGGGGTTCTCCCTCATATTTTTTGCAGAGATGAGGTCTTGCTTTGTTGCTCAAACTGGTCTCGAACTCCTGGGCTCAAGCAATCCTCCCATCTCAGCCTCCCAAAGTGCTGGGATTATAGGCGTGAGCCACTATTCCCAGATAGATTTGCCTTACTTAGAAGACTGTCAGGCCACAGCCTTCCGATCCCCTTCAAACCTGCACATTTCTGAACTAAGAGTAGCTGACAGCAGCCCTGTGAAATCATCACCACCCCTTATTTCATAAGTTGGCAACATTAAAGGTCATTCTTTAGCAGAGATTGCCTTGAAATATAATTGCTTCTACAACACAAACTGGCTGTTAAACATTCACAAAGAAAAACATCAAACACTGTGAATGAGAGCAGCCAGCAGTCAAAAGCAAGGCAGACAGGGTCTGTAATGGAAAAAGAAATCATAATAAGAACATCGCTTTGGATTCTGGAAGCCATAAGTAAGAAACAAAATACAGACATTCTCCTCAAAAAATGTGTGCTATTACTTTTCTAGCATCCTAATTCATGAGAAAATGGAGTTCCTTAAGTTTTCTTCAGGCCAAATATACAGCACTAAAAGTATTAGTCATCAAGATTTCTTAGGAAAAATTCAAATTTAATAACCAATACAAAACCGCCCAAAGTAATAATGAACCACAGACTTCTAGAAAATTATTAATACCCTCTGTGGGGCCAAGAATCAGGACAAACAACAGAATGAACGTTAATAACAGGGTTTTCATGACTCCCTGAGAAATTCTTACACGAAAATATTTTAAAATATGGAAACACTGAGTATATATTTCATTTAAAAATAGAGCCCATCCACATCATCCTATTAAGTATGCTACTTTCCATAGCCTCACAGATGAGTGTCTGTGCCACAGTTAAAATCAAAAACAAATGGAAGAAACAATAATAATAATACTAGAGGGACTCAAAAACACCCGGAATTTATTTATAAAAAATTGTGTACTTATTCTAACATGTCTAAACGTCAGTCACCATCAAAGTACTCTTCATTTGATGCAATACACATATCAAGATGCTTTTTCCATTGCTCAAAACAGTTTTGGAACTTGTCAATTTTGATGCCTTTTAGTGCTTCTGTGGTTTTTTGTTCCACTTCTTCCACACTGGCAAAACATTTCCCTTTGAGGACTTTTGTCATCCAGGGAAACAAAAACCAGTCGACTGGAGTGAAATCAGGTGAATAGGGAGGGTGGGGCAAAAGGATCATGCTGTTTTGGCAAAAACTGCTGAACACTCAGCAAGCTGTGGGCAGGTGTGTAGTCATGGTGGAAGAACCAGTCACCTGTTTGCCACAACTCAGAATGTTTGTTCCACAAATTAGGATGTCACCGCCTCAAAACTTCCAGATAAACTTGGTTAACTGTTTGATCCAGAGGAACAAATTCTGAATGTACTACAAGGGGCCTGCCTTCTAAAAGAATTTCAGGTTCTTTTGGGTCTCCCTTGTAGAGCAGGAGAAAACTTTGGGAAGTGAAGAATGTTTATGGCCTTCATGCTGGTGATGGTTTTCTTGTGTATACTTATTCCCAAACTCATCAAGATGCATACCTCAAATATGTGCATCTTTTTATATACTAATAATTCTTCAAAAAAGTGGTTATAACAGAAAATAAAAACAAATGACAGACCAAGAACTCACTAGCATTCTGCTTTAAGAAGTAGTATGTCTTAAA